CACATCAGCAAATGAAGGTCTTGAAAGCTTTCTCTTATCCATATGAGTAAGGCTGGGTTTACTCAGATGTTGCAGCTCTTTCCCAGTCCTATCCTAAAATAGGACTACACTGTACAACCAACAAGTCAGAACCAAAATGCTTGAGAATTGCTCAATAGCAATAACAATTTTTCTTTACAGCAGTCTTCAGACTGTTTTCACTTACCAACAAAAAGTCAGAAGTGCTAACTTTAAAAATCTCGGGCATTACATCTCTGGTTTTTTAGTTTTAATTAATTTTTACTTTCCATAGCACTAACTTTTATACATAGGTTTAAGTAGACTAAATGTGGCTAAATAAACATTACAGATCTGTAACTCCACAGAATAAAAGACCAAATATTTACCTTCTTAGCATCTGCAGAAGACCTTAACCCTTCTGGCAGTGTGTGCACTAAAGGTAAGACGGCAGCACTGACCCGCTGAAAATGGGAATCAGAAACTGGTTCCAAACGTGGGCGCTTGGATTCCAGTGAATCATGATCCACCTGGGACGGACCTGGGTGAAACTGTTCATATCCAGTTCTCCTTTCTTGAGGCCTAATGAAAAAAAGAAAAGAAATGTGAAAATTTTAAGTGATATACAATTCCCCTAATAATATCCCGGTTTGAACACTGAAATAAATGATAAAAGTAATGCTTACTTTAAAAGTAAATCCTCACCTCTCTGCCCCACCTACACCCTAGAATACTATAGGCCTTACTCTATTAATGTTAAGAACTCTTGGTAATGCAGTGGCTAAGTCCTCAGCTGCTAAATGAAAGGTGGGCAGTTCCAACCCACCAGCCACTTCACAAGACAAAGATGTGGCAGTATGCTTTGATAAAAGTCAGCCTTGGAAACCATGCAAAGCAATTCTGTTCTGTCCTATAAGGCCTCTATGACTTGGAATCAAGTTGATAACAACAGATATACTACTGTTAGACTTCTAAATCAAATAAAAAAGGCTGCTTTGATGCAGGGAAGGTGTTACAAATAAGCTACCTAGAAGTAAAAGATGTAACAGTAGATGCTTAGTTACCATAAAGTAAAGTTGCTGAAGAAATTTACAAAATCTTTTAAAATCTATGGCAATAAAGTTGAATTCAAGAATATCTAAACAAGAGGCACCATTTTCAATCAATAATAAAACAAATGGGAAACACACACACACACACACACACACATCTCTTAGCTATTGCTAAATGCAAGAATAAATTACTTGCCTGGGGTCAAAGAATTCTGAAGCATCACTAAGACTTAAAGACATGTCTCTTAACTAGAAATGCAGCATTGCTCCCAACATATCATTCTGATCCCTAAAATACATACATTTTCTTGCTATTGTTAGGTGGTGCCAAGTTGGTTCCAACAACTGAAGGCAATACTACCCAGTCCTGCAACATCCTCATAATTGTCACTATGTTTGCTCATTGTTACAACAGCAACTGTGTGAATCCTTATCATTAAGGGCTTTCTTCTTTTTCACAGACCCTTTACTTTACAGAACAGACGTCTCCCAGAGACTGGTTCCTCCTGACAACATAGAGTACATAAGACGAAGTCTCACCATCCTTGCTATAAGCTCCTTATAAAGAAGCATTCTGGCCACACGTCTTCCAAGGCAGATTTGTTTGTTCTCACAGTCCATAGTATATTCAGTATTCTTCGTTAACACCATAACTCAAAGGCACCAATTCTTCCTCACTCTTCCTTATTCATTGTCCAGCTTTTACATGCATGACGTGACAGAAAATACCATGGTTTGTGTCAGGAACAGCTTAGTCCTCAAAGTGACATCTCTGTTTTTTTAAAAAATATATAAATATAGTTTTAAAGAGATATTTTGCAGCAGATATGCCCAAAGCAATATACTGTTTGATTCCTTGACTGCTGCTTGCATGAACACTGATTGTGGATCTCAGTAAAATGAAATGGACAATCTTTTCTCCATTTATCATGATGATGCTTATTGGTCCAGTTGTGAGGCTTTTTGTTTTCTTTATGCTTAAGTGTAATCCGAACTGAAAGCTGCTGTCTCTGATCTTCGTCAGTTGTTGTTGTTGTTAAGTGCCGTCAAGTCGTTTCTGACTCATAGCGACCCCATGCACAGCAGAACGAAACACGCCACCCCCACAATCCCTGCTATACTTGAGCCCATCATCGCAGCCACCATATCAATCCATCTCCTTGAAGGCCTCCACCTTTTTCGTCAACCTTCCAACCTACCAAGCATGACATCCTTCTCCAGGGAATGGTCCCTTCTGACAACATGAACAAAACAGGTGAGAAGAAGTCTAGCCATTCTTGCTTCCAAGGAGCATTCTGGCTGCACTTCCTCCAGGACAGATCTATTAGTTCTTTTAGCAGTCCGCAGTACTTTCAGCATTCTTCGCCACCACCACAACTCAAAAGCATCAACTCTTTTCGGTCTTCCTTATTCACTGTCCAGCTCTCACATGCATAAGAGGCGATTGGAAATATCATGGCTTGTGTCAGGCGCACCTTAGTCCTCAAGGAGATATCCTTGCTCATCAGCACTTGAAACAGCTCCTTCGCAGTTGACT